GGACTGGGTTGGTGGGTGCTCGGACTGGGTCGTTGGTTGGTTCGAGTTAGTCGGTCGGGGGTTGGTGTGGGTCGGTCGGTAGGTGCTGTGCATCTTTTTTTTTTTTTTTTTTTTTTTTTTATATTAACGGCCCCAGTGGCCAAGGCTGATATTACGAAACAGATGATTGATGCCCGGGTCCTCACAGTCTGCGCGGAGTACCACCTCGGATGATATTAGGAAACAGATGATTGAGGCCGGGGTCATCACAGTCTACCCGGAGTAACCGAACCCAGCTTCCTAAGAACCGGGCTCAGCGTACCACGTCGGATGATGCAAAAATTTTGTTTTTTCTTCTGAACGGGCCCAGTGGCCAAGCCTGATATTACGAAACAGACGATTGAGGCCGGGGTCGTCACAGTCTACCCGGAGTAACCGAACGCAGCTTGCTGAGAACCGGGCTCAGAGTACCACGTCGGATGATGCAAAAAAATTGTTTTTTTTTTGAACGGGCCCAGTGGCCATGCCTGATATTAAGAAACAGATGATTGAGGCTGTGGTCGTCACAGTCTACCCGGAGTAACCAAACCCAACTTGTTGAGAACCGGGCTCAGCGTACCACGTCGGATGATGCAAATTTTTTTTTTTTTTTTTTGAACGGGCCCACTGGCGAAGGCTGATATTGGCTGGGTGGGTGTGTGGTTGGACTGGGTCGGTAGGTTGGGCTGGGTCGGTTGGTGCTTGGACTGTTTCGGTGGGTACGTGGAATGCTGCTTCGGCCGGGTCGGGTTGGGTGGGTGGGCAGTGGCCGTGGGTGGGTGGGAGGTTGGACTGGGTCGCTGGTTGGTGGGACTGGGTTCGCGGGTGGTGGGACTGGGTCAGCGGGTGCTGGGACTGGGTGGCTGGGTGCTGGGACTGGGTCAGCGGGTGCTGGGACTGGGTTAGCGGTTGCTGGTACTGGGTCACTGTGTGTTGGGACTGGGTGAGCGGCTGCTGGCACTGGGTCAGGGGGTGCTGGGACCGGGTCAGCGGGAGGTGGGACTGGATTGGTGGGTGCTGGGAGTGGGTAGATGGGTGGTTCGAGTTAGTCCGTCGGGGGTTGGTGTGGGTGGGTCGGTGTGTCGGTAGAACCTCGGTCTCGGTCGGTCGGTAGGTGCTGTACATCTTTTTTTCTTTTCTTTTTTTTCTTTTTTGTTTTATTTTTGAATGGGCCCAGTGCCCAAGGCTGATATTATGAAACACATGATTGAGGCCGGTGTTGTCACAGTCTACCCGGACTATCACCGATAGCTCTTCCGTTCTTACCACATAGCAGCCGCTCCTGGTTCGCTACTGGATTGCCTTCGTGCCTCGGCAAACCCCAGACCTCTCTACAAGGCCTCATGCCCGAACATTTGCAGGTTACAGGGCGACTCCCCTCCTCCGGCCAACGTCGTTGTGGCATCAGCTGGGTGAGTGCGCGGACTGGGTCAGCGGGTGGTTGGACTGGGTCGCTGGCTGCTCGGACTGGGTTGGTGGGTGCTCGGACTGGGTCGTTGNGCGGACTGGGTCAGCGGGTGGTTGGACTGGGTCGCTGGCTGCTCGGACTGGGTTGGTGGGTGCTCGGACTGGGTCGTTGCGTGCTCGGACTGGGACAACGGGTTCCGGCAGAATGGTGCCACGAATGTGTCGTGTCTTATTACGATGATGTTATGCTTCCTGTTTCTGCATAACATCTCCAGGGTATTCTTTGTCATGGCGCGGGGTGCGTCCTCCAGTTCGGCATCGACATTTCTGTCGGAAGACGTATACAGGAATTACGACTACTCGAGTCATTATCCGGGCCAGCCGAAGCGGCCGTCGGACGATGAGCTTTTAGAAGTGTGTGGCGAGCGTTTGGGTGATGAGTCTGGGGTGAGATGGTCGTTTGACGAAATGTTGCAATTGTTGTACATGAAGCAGCAGGAAGTGAATGCTTTGAAAATGTTGCTTGACCGGCAAGAGGAAGAGCATCTGGAGGCGTTGGAAGGGATGTTGAACGGGATCCGGTTGGGGCCGTGCGAGGGGGCAGGGGGTAGAAAGAGGGCGAAGCAAGAAGAGAAGGGGGCCGACAGGAAAAGAGGAGCAGATATGGCCGTAGAGAACGTTGAACTTGGAACGCATGTGGATGAAAATCTGAAGTTAGTGGATGAAAATCTGAAGTTGCGCTCGATTTACAACGTTCGCTGTCATACGCTGGGATCACTGAGGGACATGGTGGTGAACCTGCACAGCAACAGGGACGGGTCACTGTTGCAAAACATGATTCGTTGGAGGGAGAGGGCGGTAAGTTTAGATATCCAGGTTAGAAAGTTGTTGACCATATCTGACACCCGTAGGGACATCTGTGTGCTTGCCAGTGCGTTGTTCAAACATCCGACGGAGAGTACAATGCGGGAGATTGAAAAGAGGGATGCGTTGAGTGCTGTTAGGTGTCTGGAGTGGCTGGCTGAGACGTTTCTGCAGAGGGCGATAATGGCTGAGGTGCAAACTGCGCTCAACTTCCCGTTGACAAAGCACCAGGAAGAGGGTACTATGGAGTGTCTGTTCAACCTGTTGCTTCGGTCAATGCGATCCCGCCAGCGTTTGGCATATATGATTTCCGCGGAACAGTCGGTAACGGAGGATTACAAACTCACCCGACAACAGGCAGCGGATTTGGTACGTATGAAGTCAGTGCTAGGTCAGAGTCTGCTTCTTTCCGCGCAGGGACGGCATGCAACGGAAGGTGAGAAAAAGGAGATTGGAAGCCTGATTGTGGAGTTGTTGCTGCTGCAAAAGTCGCATGCAAAGCTGCAAAAAGAGTATGCTTACCTGCTTGTCCTTCGCTGTCTGGAACGGCGTGCACATTGTCCGAAGTGCGGGTGCACATTGGACGAAATACGGCCACACGATGCGGAGGCAAGGAAAACGAGATGCGAGAAGATCCGGGAGCGGATCCTTGAGGTGAACAACGCGCAGGGGCGGAGTGTGCAAGGGGCGCGACCAAGTTATTTGTTGGAGTCGTCGTTGGAGTCAAAATTCAGAGGGAGGAAAGTGCGCAATGCGCTGGGAGAATACAGAAAATCCATAGTCGAGACGGGAGCGAGGCTACGGAGTATTGACACAGAGCGCACGGAGTTTGTGGATGACATGCACGCCGAGGTTGTGATTGGTGGTGACGTTGTTGTCGATCGCCAGCCGGGGGAGGGTCCCCTACTGTATGATGCGATGGCACGCGTGCGTCAAGAGGACGACATGCCTGGTTTGATTCCGGTGTGGTATAACGGGGAGGATGAGCGTTTGGACGACGATTAAATATGAATTGACTTGCGCCGCGGTGGGTTGTTTTCGGGACCGGCGTGTTGGGAGGATGGGGATATAAGGGAACATTGGGCTGTGTAGGCATGCCTACGGATTGCTGGGCCATAGGGATGGGTGGAGATGTGCGGTCTTTGTGGGACGGATTGTTGCCTTTTGTGGTGTTTCCCTCTTCTTTTTGCCGCCTCCAGGTGCGTGGTGCCCGTTCCGTCGGTCATTGGCCGTCTTCTGGCTGGAAGACGGCTCCATTGATGCTTTCGCGTTTTATTTAAAATGAGGTGTGAGTTTTTCTATATGTATATGTACATAGATGTGGATGTGATATATATGTATTCACACATTGTTGTTCGAAATATGTATATGTACATCGCTTCGGACTGGGTCGGTGGGTGGTGGTAGGGGGTCGGTGTGTGCTCGGACTTCGTTGACGGCTTCTGGGACTGGGTTGAAGGTGCTTGGACTGTGTTGGTGCGTTCTCGGAGCGGGTGGCAGGTGGTTAGATTGGGTCGGTGGGTGTTTGAACTTGGTCCGTGGTTGCATGGACCGGCGTCGTGGGTGCTGGGGTTTAGTCGGGCGGTCCGTGTGTGCTGGGACTGGGTGCGTGTGTGCTGGGACTGGGTCGGTGGGTGCTGGGACTGGTTCCGTAGGTGTTGGGTCCGGGAATGTGCGAACTGGGAGCGGCTCCGTGGGTGTTGGGACGGGGCACGTGGGAACTGAGAGTGGGTCCGTGGGAACTGGCACTGGGTCCGTGGTTGCTGGGACCGCGTCCGTGGGAGCTGGGACCGGGTGGGTGGTTGCTGGGACTGGTTCCGTTGCTGTTGGGACCGGTATGTGTTTGCAGTCCCTCGGTGGGTAGGTGCTGGGAACTGGGACCGGTATGTGTTTGCAGTCGCTCGGTTGGTCCATGGCTGCTGGGACTGGGTCCGTGGGCGCAGGCGCGCGCAGGATCCCCCGGCTCTCCCCTCGCGTGCGCAAGTGCGTACTGGTGCGCGCGCGTTCCCCTGAGACTCCACCCTCTAGTGCGCAGGTGTGCGCGCGTTCCCCCACGGTTCTCCCCTCGTGTGCGCAGGAGCGTGCTGGTGCGCGCGCGTTCCCCCGCGGTTCTCCCCCTCGTGCGCAGGTTTGCGCTAATGCGAGGGCACTCCCCCACGGCTCTCTCCTTGTGGCTCGAAGGTGCGCGGTGGTGCGCGGTGGTGCGCGCTGGCTGTGCGCAGTCCTCCTTCCCCCGGCTCTCTCCTCCTCGCTCGAATGTGCGCGGTGGTGCGCGCCAGTGCGCACTGGCTGTGCGCGGTCCCTTCCTTCGGGCGCAGGTGCGCGCTAGTGCGCGCGCGCTCCTCTCGTGTGCGCGGGTGTGTCTGTGCGCCCTTCGTCCGTCCATGTACCGCTCCCGTGCACCCGTCTCCTCGTGCGTCTGTATCCCGTACGCCTGTGTCCGAGCATGCCCGAATTCCCTGTGCGCCTGGTGTCCGCCTAGAAGTGTCCCGTGCGCCTCCGTCCTCGCGTGCGATGAATGCCCCGCGTCTGGGCCCGGTTGAGCTTAAGTACTCTGCCGGGCCCTTCTCCCAAGTGTGTGTCCCGGCCTTGGGTGCACCGAGGCAGCCGACAGCTTGCAGCGCCCCCGTACCGGGCCTATGCCCGGGCCTGATTGGGCTCTCGAAAGATCCCCGGCGGAAAAGGCCTTCTCGTAGGGAACTGGGCCCTCTGCAGCGGCCTGGCACCATGGCTAGTCCCAAGCCTGTCTCAGGCCTGCCCGGGCCTAGGCGGTCCCCACGCAGCCGTGGTGTCGTTCTTAGGGAAAAATCCAGACGGGCCGCGTAAGCGAAAATTGGACCCCTCGTTCAATTGGCCTAGGCGGGCCCTGCGCCCTAGCTGGACCGCCCCTTCGAAAGAGAATTCGACTGGCCCAATGGCCTCTTGCCCGTGGTGTCAGCCCGTGCCATGGTCGGTGCGTCCCGGCCGGATAAAGTAGGCCCCTTGTTCGCAGCTTCGGTCCGCTTCATGGTCGGTGTGTCCCGGCCACGTAAAATAACGTCGAGCAATGATATTGCCGCGGCGTTCTCCGGCGTGTCGTCTCACCGCATGGTTGATAATTGTTGGTAACCCCGTCGGTCCCAGTGTCGGCCCGTCTCATGGTCGATGAAGCACGGCCAGGTAGAATACTGTCGAGTGGGGTTGTCGTCGCGTGCCCTCTGAAAGGAGGTAAAGGGCGGCGTAGCATTGTAGCCGCCCGACAAAGGGCTCCGCTGGCTGGATGCAGCTGGAGACCTGGTGGCGCCTGAATTCGAAACCTGTGCTTAGTTGTATTTTTAACTTGGGCACTGGGCCCGGAAAAAAAAAAGAAGAAAAAAAAGGATACATCCACGTGTCTATATATCGTCACAAATAGAACTGCCCTGCCCGGTAAACCGTAGGCAGAGAGAGAGAGAAGAGGACAACAAACGAGGGGCTGTGACAAACTTTTTCGTCGGAGTTTCACCGACTCATCATATATAATATATATATATACATTGTATAGTTGTATACACACTCGTAATAATATTTTTGTTATTATACCCTTCCATATTATTATATATTATATGACGTTTTATACTACGTTACCAGCTGTCCGATTGGGAGACGTCTCCCTCGGACGTCTCCGGGAGACGATCGAGGGGGAGTTGTCCGAAAAATCGGACAACAGGTTTTTTGCCATTAAAAAAAAAAAAAAAAAAAAGTGGGGGGGGTCTGCGCACTGCCAGGGGAGCCCCCCAAAAAAAATTGGGGCTATTCTGAGCAAAAACAGAAAAAAAAATAGAAACAGGCTTTTGTGATGCCCCGCCAAAAGACGGACTGAGACACAGCTGATTTCTGAGTTTTGCTCGTGAAATGAATGCCTTACTGGGTTTCCCGCATGTTGCTGGGTTTGCTAAGTCTGTGTGTGTGCGTGTTTGCTGGTCTGCATGTCTGTCTGAGTGCTTGTGTGCTCGAGTGTGTGTGTGACCCGTAAGGGCACTTGTTCGTCCATTCGGCCCATAGGCCCGGTACTTATCTGTGGCCGTGACATCGAAGGTTGCAGCAGGGAAAAACACTCGAGTGGGCGGGAAGAGGGCCGCAGTACGGTAAGTGGGCATGGCGGCCTGAGCTGTAGCAGCCATAGCTGCTTTGTGTTGTCCTTTGGACATCACGGTTGGGCATAGTAGTCCGCCATAGCCTCGGCCTATGCAAGTGAAGAGGAATGAGAGCCGACCATGGCTATGGAGGACCTTATGTGACACCAGCAGTAGAAGAGAGGACTTCGACATTGATTGTGGATCAGCCATTCAACATTGTTATTATTGTTTGTTGTTTGAATTGAGAAGGGGGAGATAAGGAGGAGGAGAGAGTTTGGCGTTGTCATTTGTCAATGCTGGTGTACATCATCTTCTTCTTTCTTTGTTACTTCTTCTTCTTCTTCTTACCCTCTCATCTCTCTCAAGTTCATTCATTTCTTTTTGCAATTGGACGGCATGGTGCTATGTGATGAACGTGTACTTCGAACTTGGTCCCGGACATGAGACTTTGGGAAGTTTGGGGTGTGTGGGGAGGTGGAGTTGGGTGGTTGGGGGGTTCCAATGGAGAGGCCGCTGCTGCAGTCGGCAACTTGAGCACGGCGCAGCAACTGCCGCTGCAGTTGCGGTACGTGCAGCAATTGCTGCTTGTATACCATCCGCTGCAGCTGTTGCAGCAGGTGCAGTGGCAGCGACATCCGCCGCAGCAAGTGCGGTGGCAGCGACATCCGCTGCAGCAAGTGCGGTGGCAGCGACATCCGCCGCAGCAGGTGCTGCAGCTGGTACAAGTACTACACCCACTGCATTCCGCCCACATACACACACACACACACACCTCATACAGACCATTTGAATTGATTGCCTGAATGATTGAAAGAGTGAGTGACCAAGCGACAGACTGACTGACCGAGTAACTGACTCACTGGCATACACAGAGAAACACACGCAGAAACACACACAGACACACACCGCAAATGGCCGACTGACCGAGTAACTGATTCACTGGCATACACACAGAAACACACGCAGAAACACACACAGACACACACACAGACTCGCACACAGACACGCACAAACACCCACACACAACGACATTCACATTTGCTGAACACGGTTGCACATTGCTGTTCCGATTTCAAGCACGACAAACAAATGAGAGAGAAGCACGACCAATGCAGCATATGGAGTTCAACTGTGAACATCAACAACGAACTGAATCTCTCTCTCTCTCTCTCTCTCTCTCTCTTTCTCTCTCTGCTGCCATGGCAGCAACCAACGATCCACAACCACTCACACAAACGCACTTTGCAACCACCCGACTCCGAACATGTTCCCCATACTCCACCGCCCCCCACCCCCCAAAGACGAATGGACGCAGATGGACGGGCACTACCACAGTACATCCCACTAGTCCGCCATGTCGCCGGTGCCATCGGAGTTGTCGTCATAGTCGCTGACCCCTCATACGTGTCTCCTCCTGACCCCTCATACGTGTCTCCTCCTCATACGTGTCTCCTCTTGACCCCTCATACGTGTCTCCTCCTCGTACGTGTCTCCTCCTGACCCCTCATACGTGTCTCCTCCTCATAGTCGCTGCCGGACATCTCATCTTAGGTGTTGCCATCATCATTCTCATCAGGATCATATGTGTCTCCTCCTGACCCCTCATACGTGTCTCCTCTTCATAGTCGCTGCCGGACATCTCATCTGAGGTGTTGCCATCATCATTCTCATCAGGATTATCGTCCAGCACGCGAGTAGAGGTTTTCTGCATCTCTCTACTGCCTGCTCGAGATCTTGTACGGACACCTGCAAGAACATCAACTCCTGCAGCAATCCCCTCCGCAACATTGCCAGTCTCTGACCTGCCGTGGCCTAGTGCACTCAGTGCCCATGACTGGTGTTGCTTGCCTCGGCCTCTACCTGAGCCACGAGGCCGGCCACGACCTCGACGTGCAGGAGATGGCTCCCCGCCTACATCATCCTCCCTTTGTCTCTTCTTCCTGCCAGCACGGCTCGTCTTCACATTATCGCGGATAGTCGAAGACTGTCGTGCCGGAAGCGGGGGAATGCCCAGCGGACTGCGGTCGGGCATGGTAGCAGTCCTAGATGATGATGGCCGTAGTGATGTGGGTAGAGTAGGGCGCTCAATAGACATGGAAGTGCGGGGTGAGTGGATGTCTGTAGGTGATGGCAATGGCGGTATGCCTGCTACACTGGTCAAGGGTGCGCAACTTGCCATTAACAAGCTGCGTCCCCCGCCCTGCATCACCTTATTGGAGACGCTGTCGTGAGCTCCCCCACCTCCTCCAGATGCTCGCTCCTGAGCTGCCACGCGATGTGCTGGCGACATGCAATGTACACCAAGATCCACACCCTGCGAGGATTGTGCGGCACATGGGGCAGCGAAGGAATCCCGTAGAATGAACCCCTAGTGAGTGTGATGTCTCGAGCAGAGCTCTCCTGCGGGGGATCCCTACCCGTCTCCTCCCTCCTGTCCTACGTCCTGTCCTCCGTCATGTCCTCCGCCATCACAACGCCCTCATCTTCGAACGACACTCTCGTCCATACTGTCACTCAATCTCTCGCGTTCAATGTCTGATCGCCCCTCATCCACTTGCTGCTCCACACTCACATCCACCCTAACTTCCACCCTCTGCTCCACCCTCTGCTCCACCCTCTGCTCCACCCTCTGCTCCACCCTATGATCTGCAGCAAGGGGAGCAGATGGATGTACCCTTTGGACCGCCCTCTGTTCCACTGTCGCGGCCAAACCTCCCCCCACCCACTGCACTGCAATCTGCACCGCCATACTGTCTGTGTTGTTACCCACCCTCTGATCAGCCCTGTGGCCCATCAATTCCTCTGCAACCACGTCCGCCCTCTGATCCACCGTCTGCACGACACTCTGTCTGACCCCCGGACGCTCTGAGAACTGCTCTGCCACCTGTTGCATCCCCTCCCTGTGCTGTGCCCTGTGCTCCACTGCCTGATCTGCCCTCTCGCCCATGCTATCATTATGCCTCTGCCCTGCCCTGTGCACTGCAGCACGGTGTACTGCACCCTGTGAAGATCCGTCAGTCTTGCGCACGTCGACGGCGCAAGCAGGGGAACCTAACGTGGCAGAATCATGTGGCTCCAGACCTCTGGAGTCGGCGGCGGTCGGCCCTGCAACACGGGAGGACGAGGGCTGATTGACGCATTGTGATGTTGTGGCGCCTGATGACCCTATCTCCGCCACCAGTGGCTGCAAGGTCGAGGCAGGGATGTCGTCGTGGTGGCGCTCGATGTCCTCGTCTGCCCCCTCCGCATCGTCTGTCACCAACAGGCCCTCGACATGGACGTGGCCTCCCACCTTGCTCCGGAGGGTCCTCACTGCTTGGAAACTGCCATCAACGTACGAGTCGAGGTCTGTGTGAGGGTCCAATGTCGTCCACTCGTCGAAAATATCGTGCTGGTCTTCTGCAACCGCCTTCCCTCTGCCTCGATCCGCCTGCACCTGTTCCATCATCTCGCGGTGCATCCACACCGCATCCTGCCATGGGGGCATTGTATCTGCCAAACGATCGTCTGCCGATAAAGACATGATCCAGTTACGGCCGTCCTTGCGACGATTAACCTGATCCTGCAGCTCCCAGTCATCCTCGCCCACATCTGGGGGGATCACATCTGTGTCG